GCCCTAGGCATGGGGATTTTTTTTTCTGAGACACTATAGGGTATGCTGATTCAGAAAAACCAAAAATTAATTTTCCTTTACTTTTTTCCCGCTAAAGTTCATTTCAGCATTTTTACAACCAGACTACACTAACAATGGCTGATAGATGCTATAGAAATGGTGCTCAGATGTATGTTGAAAATATCATAAAGAAAAGAAAACAAAACAAAGAGGTTCTGAGATTAGCACAGACAACTCGACAAAAAAAGAAAGAAGAGAGAAAAACTAACCTTGAAACAAAAAACCAAAACACAACACAAGCAGAGGCGCCAGAATCACCACACCGTTTTCTGATTGACCCGACTCCTATCAACTGATTACAGTTAGTGAGGTCTGACAGCATATCCACCCCAATTCTCCGTATGGTTGGTGACGTAACTATATGTTCCGAGCGGTCCTGGTTTGAAAGTAGGCCTGTGGTCGGGCCCTTGACGACTGTTAACAAACTCTGTTTACTGAAGTGCTCCATAGTTAAAACCACCCGCGGGGTTGAAAAATGTTATTTATGAAAGGGAATCAAGTTCAATTTATTACTATTTTACTAAAATAATCCATAGTACTCTCAGATACCATTTTAGTATTTCCGAGTCTAATTTTTTCGGGGCAGGAATATTGAATACTGATTAATAATGTATTATTATACAGTATACTAAAGGTATTTTATTGTCATAAAAATACGTAATACAATACTGTATATATCGTACTTTTACTAAATTAAGTCTCGTGGACAGAATATAAGATTATATATGGGAGTAATAGTTCCAATACATTTTATCAGAGCATGCTTTTGTGGTTTCTTATTAGCAAAGGTTTACAGCAGACCCAACGAAAGAGATCCCCATAGCTGGCTTGGTCGCCCTGGGCGAGGGTGTGTGTGTAATGTTCATAAGGACCCTCCAATACTGGAAGAATTTTATGACCTTATAGGGCATCATATTATTCCTACCGGTATAACTCAAGAAAACATAAGACCTATATTTGCAAAAGAGATAATAAAAGCCTATATAATGCTAATTCGAGTGGGCCCAGAAAAGTGTCCAGGTTAAAAATGCTATAGCATGTCTCAAAATAATGACCATGGAATCACAATTCGCAAGCTATTTTAAATCATGTGAATAAGACAAATGTAGGTCTATTGCGAAGATGATATATTGTTCAAAATTTAATTTCTTATCAGTGGCATAACTAGATGGAACACAAACAAATTAAGTATTATACAATGAATAACAGTGAATTGTATGTACACAACGTTCAGTGTATTTTGAAATATAAATATATGCAAGTAAATAAAACATGTGTTATGAATACACTGGAATCAATATACATGTATTATATTTGGAAATAGGCCTACAAATAATGAATACAAAGATTTTTAATAACATAATGCTGGTACAATTTTAACTTCACTTACTTACCAAATTCGGCCTGAAGCACTAATAAATTATTTAACACGTTCTAGATGAGATGTACTATAATGGTTTAGGGCTTTCTTCCAGATTAAACTTTATTTTCAGTCAATTCTTGGTATATTTATGACAGGCAGACCCGGTAGGTATAAACTAATACTATAGAGCTCTACGATTCAGGGGCGATCCAACTTGTTTTGTGAAATGGTAGTGGGGGTGGGGGAGCACAACGTTAGAATGTGGTTAGTTTTTTTAGGGTGCCCAGAAAAAAATATGAAATAATTATTATAAAGATGGTGGTGATGAGGGTGATGATAATAGAGAGAGGATGATGATAACGACGACGGTGATGATGGCAATGACGGTGATAAGGATGATGACGATTATGGTGATGTCAATGATGATGCCGATGACGACGACGACGATGATGTTGACGTACTGGCATGGTTTGAGTTACGGAGGCTGAAGTGAAGTGATTCCAGACTGAAATCAAATGGAAAGGGCCCTCGGTCAGTGTACAGTGGACAAAANNNNGCCCCCCCCCCTCTCTCTCTCTCTCTCTCTCTCTCTCTTATATTTAGTCTTATAATAGTAATACTTCCAGAGAGCACAAATGATCCTCCTATTGAGGTCCATGGACTAAAAAGCCTTAGACAAAAAATTGGTGGTTCATGGTTATAGCGTAATTGACATCTAATCTAGTTGTCGTTGCTTGGCATCGCACTGGAATTGTATATTTTGTTGGATCCTCACCCTCTTACAAAATTGGAAAACCTGTGAAGCAGCTACCCAGAGCCGTCGGAACCACACCGGCCTTGCCCGGACCACTTTTTCTCAATGCTATTTTATTTTTATATAAAATATATACGGATATACCTATAGATTATATGAATTTATTATTAATGTTCGCATCATACATTGTCTTCTTTATGTTATATATTGAAACAAAATTCCACCATACGCTTGTTTTTGTATTAATTTACATGTCAATATTTTTTTTAATATTTAATTTTACTAATTAAGGTTGATAATGAAAACTGATTGATATGATTGATATTGAAAATGTTTAGCGGTATAAATATAAAATAACTATTTTAAAAATATTGAGCTCATTTCACTTCAGTATGCATGGTCTCCATATAACTTAAACCATGCCACCATCATGTACAATATGTCCTCATCATCGTCATCGATATCATCATCATCATCATCATCATCGTTATCACCGTCATCTTTCTCTCATCATCACCATCAACATAATTTCCATCATCATCATCATCATCATAATATTATCATAATTATTTCATATTTTTTCTGGCCACCCAGGTAAACTAAGTTTCCATAGGACCTCTGGATCCCTGTAAAACTAACCAACTTTTCACAAATAATCTGGATTGCCCATCAATATTAGTGCTGCTCTATTATGTAAATTCAAATTCTTATCAGTGCCATATGTAGATGAATACTTATTCTTCCCTTATAAAATAAAGTGCAAGGAACACGAATAATGATAGAATGAATAACAGTGACAATATTTACACAACGTAACGACGCAACGGCAACAATAACAATAATATTAATAATAAACACAAACATAGACAACACAAAAAAAAATCACGTGCCGTTTTATTGTAAGTTATCCGAATACCGTATATATTACTTTTCACATTGAATAAGGTCCATGAAACAACAAATACTCTTCAGAGTGAATTAATCCCAGTACGTTTAAACATTTATTGGAACGTAAGTCAACTATTATTTAAACTTCAGTGAATATTAAAGGAGTATACATGGGTACCTGGTGGGGTTGCCTGTCTCTTATACACATCTAGATGTGTATAAGAGACAGGGATACTGCCCTGTTCAATGAGACTAATTAAACATTTAGCAAGTTACCCAGTTAAACTAAGTTTCTATGGTAGGACCTCTGTATCCCTGTAAAACTAACTAGCTTTTCACAAATAATCTGGATTGTCCATCAATCTTAGTGCTGCTCTATTATGTAGTAACATGGCTCAAAATAATGACAAAATCACAATTCGTAGGCCTATGTTAAATCAATGTAGGTATATTGCGATATGATGACTTCAAAATTCAAATTGTTATCAGTGCCATAAGTAGACGAATACTTATTCTTCCATTATAAAATAAAGTGCAAGGAAC